AATATTGTAAAACTTTTTTTCTGTCATTTGAATGGTCACGTCGCAGTTGTGACACAAAGCTACAGTTAGCATTCCTCTACCCATGTTACTGTGTATTTGGTTTTGTGTGTGGGTTGTGACAAATATGGCTTTGTGGATTTGGGCTTTGTGATTTTGAATTTGATTTAAATTTAAGAAAGGATGTCAACAGTTCATGTCGACTACGAACAAGGAATTAGTAAGGCCGAAGATGTGACTTAAAAAAAGTTTGTTTTTTACACCTGTTCTATTAAATTTCTTAACTAAGATGAAGTGACGTATGGAACAAGGAAGCTTTTGACACAAGAACACTCTTAATGTCAATACTTCGGTTCACCATAATTCAAAAACTAGTACTCTTGCTATGCATCAATTTTTCATCCATCCATTATAAAAAAATAAATAAAAAAGCAAGGTGAGTGGATTCTGCCCTATTACACACACTGTCACATCCACATATAATTCAAAATTATAATTCAAAATTGATTAACCTATAAAAATTTAAGGTTCATTTATGAGAATTATCAATAAAATAATACATAAGAACAGTCACAGGGACACTTAAATGCACAACAAATATCTTCACTTTGACATTGAAAGTACATTTTCTTGAGATCCAATCCTGTGAAAAACTAATTCCAATCTGACAGCTTCCATTTGAATTAAAAGGGTAACATGTTGATAATGCACTTGATTAATTGATCATGACCACTTCTATAAAAGCTGAGGTTTTGGCAGTTTGCTGGAATGGAGCATTCCGGTGTCTTAACACAGCGCCAAGGAGGAAGAACGTCATCTCTGTCCACCTTTCCACACCCATTAACGTTGTTGTCAAATGTCGTAATTGTGGAGGAACGAGTTAAAAAAGTAACTGCGGCTTCCCATCGATCTGAGAAAGGTTATAGGGTCATTTCCAAACAATCTGAAGTCCATCATTTTGCAGTGAGAACAATTATTCACAACTGGAAAACATTCAAAGCAGTCGCCAGTCTTCTCAGGAGTAAACGTCCCAGCAAATTCCACACCCAGTGCATGATCTTGGACGTGCAAACAACTACATCCCAGACTCTACCGACCTCAGTTAGCATGTCAAATGCAACACTTCTAGAAATGTCCTTTGGAGAGACGAGACCAAAGTGGCAATGTTTGGCTGTAATGCAGAGCACCACGTTTGTTGAAAACCAGATTCAGCATATCAGGACAAACACCTCGTGTCATGCACAGTGGCAGAGGGGTCATGGTTTAGGCTTGTTTTGCAGCCACAGGACCTCAGCACATTGCAGTACACAAAACTTAAACCGACTATTATAACTATTGTTATAATCATTTAACAAATTTCATATTCCTACAGTGATACACTGACTGCAACTGTTTTCTTACCCCTATTCATCATTCTAGGTACTCTGAACCAGAACAGTGAGTCACTTCCTAGACTTAAAAAAGGAATGGAAAAAAACCACATCAGACTCTTGATGACTCATGTGTTGCTTTGAGATGGACAAACAAAGGATGTATTAGTGAGGAGCTGGGCAGAATTCATGGGAAGCTGTGTCATGTGAGCTGAAGAGTCTGCAGCTTAAAAAAAATGCAAGTTTTCCTGGAATGAGTACTTTAAATGTTTTATAGATCTGACGTGAATATCATCCATGTTGTCTTACAAACAGTCCTTAGAGAATTCATTTAAAATGATAGACCAAGCATATTCAGTCCTCTACAGTCCTTTGCTCTGAGTGACTGCCTGATAATACGGTGCAAACATGGCGTTCCACATCTGTTTGAGCAGCTGCAGAAGTTTAGAAATCCACATGAATGCAGACGGGAGAGCTGCAGATAAAAAAAGCACAACAGAAACGCATTTATAGTCACTTTTATTTTAACTTCTAAAAGACGATGATGTACCAGCAGAACTAAGGTTTCACCCAACCTGGATCCATCCGAAAAAAGAGCATGTAGAGGAGGATGGCAGTCAGAAAGATTCTCCGGAAAGGGAATGAGCCGGAGCCAATCATCAGGAGTTTTCGGTATAAAAACCTGATCACAGCCTCAAGTTTATGGACTAAAGTACCTGCAGAACAAAAGAAAAATCACAAACAGTTAACAGTTTCAGTCTTTTTTAGGCCGCTTGGTGTAATGCGTCTCATAAGGGTTGAGGCTGAAGTGTCAGACCTTGGGATGAGACAGGATGTTCGGTGACGTCAGAGCTTCCACTCATCCTGGGATTTAGAGGAGGGTCTTGATTTTGTCGCTCTTTTTCTTCTATGATATCCAGCGCTGTCTGTCTGTGTTCTTCTGTGAAGGCGCTGCTAAAAACCTCGCCTCTGACCAGCTCCCGAGCCTCGTCTGCCTCTCCCAGCGGCACAAGGACATGCAGCAGGTACAGCTCTGCCACCGTCCTGAAGCTAGTTGCCCTGCTGTTGGACGGGTAGTGTAACCAGGCTCTGGTCACCTCCTGCATTACAGCAGGCTCACCCACCTTGGAGTAAAGAAGTATACTGCCAAAATGAGACACAAAATCACATTAGTTAGTATTTTACTGAAGTTCTTAAAGAAATAAAATCCTAAATAGTTAATGCAATACTTTTCTAAACCCCTTATGTTAAAGCTTAAAGTCTACACATGAGTCAAAGCTTGTTCATCTGACTTAAAATCCACTGTGGTGGTCAAGCATATCTTTCAATTCTTTGTAAAACACAGACAAACACATCACACCTTTTAGCAGAAATAAGTTATTTTGGGTGTCCTGCATTCTTGTCCTTCAATCTTTAATTCTGAGAATGATGGCACCACACATATCACCATCAGTCCCAGAAGTCAGAGGTTTAAGTAGGAAACATGGCGTTCCTAAGTATTGGCACAGTATCTGGGAAGCTTGGCTCCAAATTTATGGATGTGAAGGCGTGATAAATGTCTGTTTCGTTACTAGAACAAGGCACTTTTATGTAGGATTTTTTTGAGTTTATCACCCATTTCCAGTTGTTGTCCAAATATTTCAAAAAGCCAACCGTTTTTCATTGGACCTACCCACTGACATAATAGATTTGGGATTATAGTCTCCAATTTTGCCTGCTGAAGAGCTTTGGAGGGCATACACTTTGGACTTCACAGACTTTATAGTTTTTCCTACAGATAAAGACCTCTTCCATAGCCATTCAGACCTCATCAAAGCAATTGAGTAATAAATAAAAGTTCGTTTTTTTCTTACACTTTGTACAATAGTGTGGGCTTTTACAAATGTGACCTCATTGGGTAAAAAAATATGGCTCATCAAGTCAAAACTTCTAGTTTTCTATTTATGGGACAGTCTGGGCAATGAGCTAGCAGAACTCGCTCTGTCATTTTACACATTTATTCATTTAAGCCTAAATAATTGTGATGACAGATTAGGGCTGGGCCATATTATACCGTTCACGGTAATACCGGTATAATGTTAGGCAACGATAGGAAAATGAAATATTGCGATAGAATATGAGTAAACCGCGCATGCGCAGTGGCTTTGTTTTCATATGCACATGGCCGATTGTTGAGTGAAACAAATGAACCAGAATTGGTTTGTAAAAATGGTGCAACTTCAGTGATGTGGAACTGGTTTGGTGTTTGTCC